TGAGCCATGAATGTGCCACTGCACTCTAGCATGGGCAACAGAAAACTTGACTCAAAAAAAAAAAAATCACTGCACCATTGAATTTTATTCATCAAAAATGGAGAAATTTAGAATTAGGTCATCATCTCTAAATCAAGTGGTATAAAATGGGATCTGGACAACAAAAGAAAATTAAAATTGATCAATAAAAGCCAGAGCTAGAAATTAGTACTGTTCCATTGTTAATGTTATAAGGCATTTCAATTATCATGGTATAATGCTCTGATTTTATGCCTATGGTCATTTATGCTATAGAGATTTCAAAATGACTCAAGATCTAGAAAACAAACTATTTAAGAAGTACTTCAGTAAACTCATGATCACTTAATAATCCCCCACTATTTTATGCAGAATGCAACTGTCTTATTTTTAAGGCAGAAACTAGTAGAATAGAAAAATAATAATTCAGTCTTACTTTTGACAAGTATGGACATTTTAAAGGAATAAAAGCTATGTACTCATGTAATTCCATTTAATTTAAATATGAAAAATGATTTTATTCATTCACTCATTCATTCATCCATCCATCCATCAAACACATCTACTTAACAACTACTGTATGTCAGGCAATAAGTAAGGCACTGAAATGCCAAATGAATAAGGTATCCTACAGCAGAATTACTCTGTGCATCTGTTACAGATGTAACATTGATCATTAAGTAAAACTTTCAGGAGCACACAAAATACTAATTTTAAACAACAGCCCCAGTTATAACTTTCGCCTTACCTACCTGGATTTCTCCTCTAAACAACCACCACCACCACCTTTAGGAAGATAAACACTAAGTTTAGTAAGATATCTCTCAAATCATTATCTGGGCAAAATATTTCTCACTCCTCTAAGAGTGCTTTTACTACTAGACTAGCCTCTAGGCTAAAAACCAGAATATTTATCTACCTTTATGCACAGTGCTTGAACAACAGTAGACAGTCAATAAATCCATCTGAGATTGAAGGCACAAAATCTGATGCAATATACAGGTAGTATAAGTGAGTGCCAAAGCTTGAATAAAAGTGAATGTTTAAATATTAAATAATAATTTGTGCCAGGCATGGTGGCTCAAGCGTGTAATCCCAGCACTTTGGGAGGCAGAGGTGAGAGGACTGCCTAAGTCCAGGGGTTTGAGACCAGCCTGGGCAACTTGGTGAGACCTCGTCTCTACAATTTATCCAAAAATTAGCCGGCCATGGTAGCACGCCTGTAGTTCCAGCTACTTGGAAGTTTTGGCCTTGGAAGGCTGAGGCGGAAGGATCTCCTAAGCCCAGCGGGTCGATGCTGACTGCATTCCAGTCTGGGTAACAGAGTGAGACTCCAACTCAATAAAATAATAATAATAATAATAATAACAATAATTTGCTAAATCAAAAAACAGGATACCACATACCTTTTCACCATGTAATACCATATAATTTCTCATTTTCTTCTGTTTTTTTTTCCTATTACCTTTTTCCTTGAGTTATATATTTTGTACCTTTAAAATGAATAAAAATAAATTGTATTTTTGTTTAGCATTTTAATTTTGTTTTTTGAGTTGGAGTCTAACTCTGTCGCCCAGGCTGGAGGGCAGTGGCATGCTCCTAGCCACCGCAGCCTCGACCTGTTGGGCTCAGGTGATCCTTCCACCTCAACCTTCCAAGTAAGCAGAAACACAGGTGTGTGCCACCACACCCGGCTAATTTTTTATTTATTGTAGAGATGAGGTCTTACCAAGTTGCCTAAGCTGGTCTCAAACCCATGGGCTCAAGAAATCCTCTCACCTCAGCTTCCCAAAGTGCTGGGATTATAGGCGTGAGCCACCACATCTGGCAGCATTTTAATGTAATAATAAAAGCCGGTCAGACAAGCATAGTGGCTCATTCCTATGACCATCACACTTGGGGAGGCTGAAGTGGGAGGATCGCTTGAGGGGAGGAATCCGAGGAACCTGCCTGGACAGCATAGCAAGACTTCATCTCTATAAAAAAAATTTGTTTTAAGTTAGCCAGGTGTGGTGGGAGTGCATGCCTGAGCTGAGCTACTCAGGAAGCTAAGGGAGGGGTGGTGGGGAGGGGATCACCTGAGCCCAAAAGTTTGAGGCTGCAAAGCACTGTGGTCATGCCACTGCACTTCAGCCTGGGCAAAACAGCAAGACCCTGTCTATTTGGAAAAAAAAAAAATAAGTTAAGTAACCAAAAATGATACAATACTAGAAGACACTAAATATAGCTTGCTACATCAAAAAACAAAAACAAAAAACAGAATACCAAATACTTTTTCATCCTAGTTACCTTTTCCCCTAAATTATTATATACTTCTATCCGTGTTGTTTTTTAATTGCTCTTGCGACCATTGGAGCAATAGCAATAAAACATTTAATTTCAGCTCCCCTCCCAGGCTCCAAATGCATCAGCTAAACTGGGTCATAGCACGGAGAATACCTCAGACAAGCAAAGCTCCCATTAAGACTAGGGCAAGTTATAATAAAAGTTACTGTATACTAGAAAACAAATTATGTTGAGGAAGAACAAGTATCTATACGATATTAAGGAATTATCAACAATGAGCAGCAGAAATCTTCTCTCACTGGAGTCCAAAAACCATCCCAAACCTCAGGCAGATTAAAGAATCTGGCTCAACTCAGGGTATACAATACAAAAACAAAGTATTTACTATCAGGATTTTCTGTGAAAGTCCCACTTAACAACCCTGTCCTTGGTCAACTCTATATACTAAGGGCTACTACAATGAAGCATGTTCTAGGACATACGATTCCAATCTGGGTGGGAGAAGAGTTTTAGCCTCAGAGTTTGCATATATTTCAAATTGTATGTATTCTACCTAATATATTTAGTGCCCACTGACCTGAGCTGGGAATCTGCGTGCTAACAGTTAGAGACGTCAGAGGGCTGTCCAAGGTACTCATGCCTGGTTATTATGAACTACAAATAAATCAGAAAGAATGAGTCAGAGGAGTAAAGGTTGGACTGGTAGGAAAAGCTGGAAAACACTGGACTTTATTACTGACAGATTAGCCCAGTATGAAGAGGAACAAAAACATTCTTTACTGTGGTAAAATAAGCTTTTATAACACAAATAACTTCCTCAATAACTTCACAAATAATCTGGCACCAGCTTTAGGGTTATTTGAAAGAAAAAAAAAATTTCTATTTATATATTATCTAAGACTTCTCTATAAAAATTAAGAAAAAAGAGCATAATGGCCTATTATCCCTATAATATTATTTGTGAAGATATTCCTAGCAAGTGGCTTTGAAAACGAAGCAAAAAATTGTACTAGGGACCTGAATAGATAACCACCTTATCTCTTATCAGAAAAGTAGACAGATCAGAAGAGGATGATTGTTTATAATATACGCCATGTATTAATAATGTTTAAGGGTTAACATGTTAAAAACTGCTTACATCTTAAAAAGCAGGCATCAAGTTAGATAATGATTATTTATTTTATTTGTCCATTTCTTTTTCTCAATTGATCAAAGTCCTGCCTATTAAAAAGAATAAATAGATATAACACCTCTAATACTACAATGGAAAAGGCTAGGTTTTGTGGTCAGAACCTGCTAATAATAACAAAGAGCTACGTTATACTCTTAAATTCATAGAAATTGCAGTATAATCCAGTATAACACCTCTACCTTATAAAGAAATTGAATTAAGGTAAGAGAGTTTAAATAATTTCTCCAAGATAACACAAATATATTTTCCATGTTTTAACAAATAACAAAGTTGAAGAAGCTATACTGTCAATTAGTAGAACCAGAATTAAAATTCAATCATTGGCCTCAGTTGGTGCACCATGCTCATGCTGCTTGATATTTAATCAGTGTTATAGATTTTCATTCATCTTAGCTGACCTCTACACATTTGCAACTGAGGTTGCTATAAGGTAAAGAAATGGTATACAATCACAGGAGAGATATAAAGAAACAAGACTGCTGCTTCTATTACATTATATTTCACTCCTCTAATAGCAGAGTAGAAGAGGTAACAGGAAATACACAAGAAAGGTCAAAGTTTTCTTGTTTCTTCAAACAAGCATAAGCTTAAAGGAAAGTTTTTATGCTTCATATTTTCATATTGAACAGTTAAGAACATCTCTGTATAAGTATGCCTGAGATTGTCATCAAACAGTTTTATAAACATGTCCTTCTAGCTTATTAATTTACTACCCAACCATCCAGGTGGAAAGACATTTATGACAATGCCAACAATACTTTATTGGGACAAGAAGATGACATTTTTACTGCTTATCAATGTAGCTCTGCACTGAACACAGCAAAGTGCAGTATAGTATATACAGTAAGTTCCTAGCATATGTATATACTATAGAATAAAGTATATATAGTAAATTACTAGGACATGTAAGACATTCCTAAAATGATCAGAAAATGAAAGGCTAGGGTGGGAAAGAAACCTGCTTTCACTATCTACTCTTTGGTACTGTTTGAATAGTTTTTTACAATGTTCATAAAATACTTTTTCAAAAAAATGATCTTTGATAATGCTACTACTACTACTACCACCACTACTACTGTAGGACATACAGTTTGCCCTTTATTCTCACACTCAAAGAATTAAGAGTCACATAAATGACTACTACAGTTTTAAGTATGCGAATTCACTTGAAACAAAAACTGAAATTTACTTTCCAATTCTATCTTTATAATAAAATAAACAAAAAACACTGTAAAGTTCTTTAACTTCTGAATAGAGACATTCTAATCCTAATGTGTTATTTTAATGAATACTGGAGTTCAAGTGTTAACTGATATTGCTGCTAAAAAGCCTATAAAACAGTTTCCATTTTACCCTTCTATAAATAACTGTTAAAATTTTTAAGTTCACAAGAAATTTCTACCACACACATTACAGAGATTTCAATAACGCTTATATCTCAACAGAAAAAGGAATCATACAGAAACACAAAGTAGAATTACACTGCTTAAAAAAAAACATTAGAAAAGGTAATTCAATTTTAATTTATTTTCATCACTTTTTCTTCATGATCCAGATATTTTAAAATGCAAAGAAAATTAATTTTCAATGATATGTCAGGGACTGGCACTAAAAAAAAAATTCAGACTGCAAATGAGTTATACAAATGAAAATATCAAATGGAGATCCAGTTATCAAAATGAAAGCACTCAACATATTAAAAGTTCACAAAAATTTGTATAGAGCACATAAAAAAGTCAGCTTGCTAATAACCAACTGTTGTGATTTTAAAGAACTATTGCAGAGGTTTGAAAAAAATAGATTTATTAGTTAACTTATAAAGAGATTAAAGAGCTTGAAACAAGTATTAAAAAGAAATCCGTGCCTTTATTAGAATGTTGTTAGGCTTTAAATATGCCAATTTTAATCAAATTATTATTTTTTTAATAAGAAATGACACTACATAACTGCAATACTGGTCCAACAGTCTTGTCTTTACTTTTCTTTTAAAGCAAGAAACAGAATGCAAGTAATCAGAAAGCACTAGCAGGCATCAGTTAATCCAAGATACTAGCTCTTAGTTCCAAAAGCACTTGCAAAGAAAACCTTTTGGGGAGAAGGGGTGGAAGGGGATGGAAGTACTTCATAATAACTGGACTCCCATGAATGTGTATGCCAAGTCTCATGAGGCTGTTTTTTTAATTTATCCTCTACTTGGTCATTTTTTTCTCTCAAATACTACAATTTTTCTTTGACTTTTTTTCCTCAAAGTATAAAAAGTATGAAATATAAACAAGCTCTTGCATTGCACACTTAGAAGTGTACAATTCAAGCATTATAGAGCTATCTACACACTGATAAATCCCATCAAATCTTGGATAATTCATTAATATACAAAATATCAGGGCACAGAAAGAACTAAATCCCACTTCTTTTTGTTACACATAAGATTCAAATATTCAATCTAAAGAAAAACAATCACTTTCGTTCTCCTCTACATCTTCATGTTGATACACTTATTAAAATATTCCTGTATAATCATGTTTGGTCTTACAATTTCAAGTCAGGTTTAAAACCTCAAAACCAGCCATCTAGACAAAACAGGTAATCATAAAGATTATCTCTTCCCCAACACCCTAACCCCAATAACTATGAAGTCAATTTTACGACATAACTCCAAACACTGGATTGTGACGACAAATGCTAGGTCCAATTTCTTCATAATCCTTTTTGGTGTGGCAAACTTGGTAGAACTCAGGCTGAAAGCAAAAATTGATATATTTTATAAAGATAAAAAATGTACCATCTTTCAATACACGCTAAAAGAGATGCTTTATAAGAAATGGTAAATCTAAAACATTATAAGTCCATCCATGGTAACAAAAACTTAGATATTCTAACAACCATGACTTAAAACCAGCTATAAATCTTTAATGAAATTAGAATCACCTTCTCCAACACCTGTTCTTCTCACACTGCAATAAACCAAACATAAAGAAGCCACATTAGCCTAAGGTGCAGATAAACTACTCTTAGTCATGCTGTGACTAACGTTTATCTAGTTCTAAAAATTTCTAGGTTGGTCGAGTGCAGTGGCTCATGCCTATAATCCTAGTACCTTGGAAGGCTGAGGTGAGAGGATTGCCTGAGCCCATGGGTTCGACAGCCTGGGCAACTTGACAAGACCACATCTCTACAATAAATCAAAAAATTAGCTAGGCGTGGTGGCGCGTGCTGTAGTTCCAGCTACTTAGAAGGCTGAGAGAGAAGGATAACCTGAGTACAGTAGGTGGAGGCTGTGGTGGCCAGGAGCGTGCCACTGTCCTTCAGTTTGGGTGACAGAGTGAGACTCCATCTCAAAAAACAAAAAAAGTCTAGGTCATCTGTCTCCCTCACTCAAGGTCTGTTAAAATCAAACTGTTCCACACTCAGTGTTACCACATTTATAAAAGGGCAAAAATACAAGACTTAAATTAAGGGGGAAAAAACCCAACTATCTCTTATCTTTAAAATGGTTTTAAATCCAAAGCTGTACATATATTCAATAATTCAGATAAAAGCACTTTCATTTTTTTTCTTTTTTTTTTGAGTCAGAGTCCCACTCTATTGTCCAGGCTGAAGTGCAGTGCCACACTCATGGCCACCGCAGCCTCAATCTGCTGGGTTCAGGTAATCCTTCCATGTCAGCCTTCCATGTAGCTGCAACTACAAGCACGCGCCATCGCACCCAGCTAATTTTTTGATTTATTGTAGAGATGAGGTCTCGCCAAGTTGCCCAGGCTGGTCTTGAACCCATGGGCTCAGGCAATCATCTCATCTCGGCCTCCCAAAGAACTGGGATTATAGGCGTGAGCCACTGTGCCCAGTCTAGCACCTTCATTTTAATACTCCATGCACTATGAGAACAATGCACCAATATTTATTAGGCTAATGACATTAGAATACCTTTTAAGAGGGCTTTAAAGACATTTTGATTTGGAGACAGGGTCCTTAGAACAATTCTCTTCATTCAGTTTAGAACATCATACTTCCTAGCATAAAACTTTCTTTTTCCTCAAACAATTAATCTTCTGATGACTAAATTACCACAGCTTTAAAAGAATTTTCCCTACAGAAAAATTTTAAAACACAGTGTATAATGCTCACTCTAAAATTTCCAGCAAGCTAAAAATATATGTAAACTTTAAATTCAAATGACTTTCAGTTTGTATACTATTATGTACATATATGTATACAGTTTTTAAAGTTTCCCATATTATATTTAGATAAAAGTTAAAGGAATTCGCTTTGTTCACTAAGTACTGATGAACTCTGCTACCTTAAAAAAATTTAAATTTAAAAGTAAGCGTCACACTCACCGTGGAAGCCAGCATTGACCCTCCAAACCAAACTGCGTATCGCTGCATGTGGTGTGTAATGACTTGTACATCAATAGGTTTTGGCTATAATTTAAAAAATTATAGTAAGATCATTTCAGAAGTAAATTCCAATAATAATTTCGTGTCATTTAATCTTAAATGTACATACACAAAAATGGTATTTACACTCAATTCAGGTAATCTCTTATAAACCAGAAATAACTGAAATTGGTTATGTACAGAAAAAAGGAGGTTGGGAATGCTGTGGAGGAGACAAGGACGGGAACAGGATACACTGGATAAAAGCAAAACCACACTGCACATATATTTCATACATTTCTCCTAATTTTTAGAAACATGTTAATGTCTTACATATTCAAAATAAAACTTTATAAGAAGGGAAGGTGCATGAGGTAAAACACAGTACATCAGAAACACTAATTTTATTTTTAAGAAACATAACCACACTGAAGCGAGGGGAGGAACTAGCCCAAGTAACGTGGGAGCACAGTATTTTGATTTGTATATGCTTTCAGGCTGAAAATAAAACTGATGCAAATATTAAACTCTAGTTAGTAGATCTATTTTTCAAAGTGGATGCATTAACAATTCTGAAACTATTATACATGTATTCCAAGATTAAGCAAAAACATAAATATACTATAGATAACAGGAGCCAGCCAGGTTTCTCACTGCCAGAGAACGACATTACAATATAGAAAGGCAGAAAACTAGAATGAACATTCTGGTATTCTGGAACTGGAGTTATCAATACAAATTCATTTTAATTTATATAGAGAATTAGATACAGATGTACACTCATACACAAAAACATACTCTAGCTCTGACCAGCGAGGACTAGATGCAGTGATACCTCAGGAACAGTGAGCATAACCAGCTCCTTAATAACATTGCCCATTAAAAGGAACAAGGGTGCCTTGGGAGAAAAAAAAAGGCAGATTCCAGGGATAGAAAAAAGAAAGTACAAGATCAGCCAAAATACCTTCCTGCCAGGAATTAAGGAATAAAGAAGGGTAGGACTGCAACACAAAAACTTAAGAGCCACTTGAACTGACTCCCACTGGCTAAATTTGAGAAAATTTGAGCATCAAAATTAATGACATTATGATATCATAGTCATATTACTTATATAGCCCATAAAACAAGAAACCAGGAGTTCATACAGCTATTACTTAAAGAATGAATGAACATGGGAGAAAGGAAGACTCTTCCTTAAGATAAAATGAAACTAAAAAACAGAGAAGATGGTACAATGAAATTTGCAAAACACCATTTGGTAACTAACTACCACAGTAACAACTGCTTTACAAAAGAATGACAACAGATGTTAAAACCGGTGATTAAAAATTTAATGAGAAACAGGATAGTTTGATAGTCTTAGTTAAGATTCTGACTAAATATAAAGGAAAAAATAATAACTTCATAGTGAAGAAACCTGACAGATACAACTTTAATCTTAAAATGCTCAAAGTTAACACATGGGACAAATTATATCATGTTGTCTACTGATACAATGCACTAAAAATGACACAGTATCACTTCTGTAGTATTACTGTCAAAAGTGCATAATCTCAACCTAATTATGCAGAAACATCAAACAAACCCAAATTGAGGAACACTCTACAAAATGAATGCCTGTTATTTAAAAATGTTAAGGTCATGAAATACAAATAACACTGAACAACTGTTCCAGATCGAAGAGGCACAATAAATGAAACATGCAATCCTTGATTGGATCCTGGACCAGAAAAAATATGTATTTTGTTTTCATTTTACTATAAAAGATATTGGCAAAATAACTTGCAAAATTTGAATCAGGTCAATAACTAGATAGCAGCACTATCAAGGTTAATTTCATGATTTTGATTAACTGTACTGTTCTTGTTTTTAGAAATATACTAAAATATTTAGAGATAGAGTCCATCATATTTGCAATTCATTCTGTGTGTGTGTGCGTGTGTGTGTGTGTGTGTGTATATGTACATATGTATTTCTAGAAACTGAATGATAAAACAAAATGGTAAAATGCTAACAATCAGGGAAACTAGGTGAAGTGGTATATGGAAATTTCTTCTAAGTTTTACAGTTTTTCTTGAAGTATGAAATTATTTCAAAATAAAAAGTTTTACAATTTACATCTCAGAAAAAGATATGGCTTCCTTTTTTAAAAAAGCTATTTGGTTAGGTGGAAAAGGGGTGCAAAAGCAAAGTCATCATTTTAAGAATTTATTATATAAGCAGACTGCCTAAAGTGTGAAGTCATGACATTACAGTGATAGAGCTCAATAATATTTTATCTTCTAATCAAAACATATACTTTTTACTGCACTCTTAGGGATAGGTTTACTTCACATAGTCAAAATATGGATGCTGAAATCAGTCACCTGTCAAGGAGTTTCTCAACAAGCAGCAAATCCTAAAGTGTTTTACTTTACTTTTAAGTAATCTTGAATGATTCTATAGTAGTCTCAGATGGAGCCTTCATTCTTGGTAATTTTCCCAAGTAGAATGTGTTTCATTTAACAACCTATCTTCTGAATCAATGCTTTACTTAAGTATCTTAAAAGGATGAAAAAAATTACTGAAAATTCATCTCATAAATATAGAAAGCAGACATCTGAGAATTTGAAATTAATTTTGATCATTTTGACATCAAGCCCAAGGTCCAGGACATATAACAGAAAGGTTACTTTGCTAAACCACCAATTTGCACACTTTGAGGTTGCTATGTAGGAGTTACAGTCAGTTTCTGAAAGCAGGCTTGACCACTCAGTATTAGCATCTCTCTCAACTCTTGTTTGTTGTCATTCTACAACGGTATTTGAAATTTTGTAGATCCATAACAAGTTTTATTGCTGGAATATGTAAAGAAATCTACTATATATATAAGTTATCTATGAAAGACAAAAAAAAAAAATCTTTTCCACAGATATAACTAAGAATTATTTTCTAGAAGCATAGACAATGTCCTAAAAGAATCAAATGGCTCAGGATATCATGGACATCCATCTATAACATTAGCCACTTTCCATTAGAATAACTTACAGGTTCCTCTTATTTCCTAAATAAGAGCAAATATTAGCAAACATTTCTTATCTCCAATACAATAATCAAGCCACCTTCAACCTTCCCACCAATAATTGAGAAAACCAACCTTCAATCTACCACCACTTAGTTCCTCACTTAATTTCAGCCGGGCATCTACAGTTCTTTTCAAATCTCTTTGCAAGCGACGTCCAAAGTCCCTGAACATGGTTGAACCTCCAGAGAGGACAATATTCTATATTAGTGGAGAAAAATGAATAAATATAAACTTTAAAAAGAAAAATGTAAAAATATAATAAACAGTACTAAAATTCTACTACATCCCAAGAAGTGTTTAACTTAATAATAAAAATAGAAAAGTTTTTCTTAAAGTATGACCTTGAATAACAATTTTGCTATAAATACTGACCTTGTACAGAGGACGTCTGACATCAATAGGACAATTCTGAATTACTTCATCTACAACTTCTGAGATAGGCTGTGTAAAGTCTGGATTAGCAAACTGAAAAATAAGTCAAGTTGGTTACATAACAGATAAGATTACTACTGATTTAAATGTCACAATAAAAGGTTAAGAAACAAAGTTTTCAGCTCAAAAACTAAAGAACCTTTAGAAACTATAAATACTAGTTTTTAACAGATTCCATTTACAGACAGTAAAATCAAAGATTTCAGAAGAAATCCAAATAAAATTATGATGTATACTATTTCATAACCATCAAAATAGGAATCATGTGAAATCACACATATACTATGAGCTGTCAAAATCTAGGTAAGTGGGAACTCCTGTACAATATGAGAGTATGCATCGATGCACTTTGAAGAACAACTCAGCAACAGATAGTAAAATTTAAAATGAACATACTAGTAGCTCCACTTCTAACAAACTCTGAAGGAACTCCCCATACATGTACGCTATTACCTAAAAGCACATTCACTACAGCCTTGTTTATAAGAGGAAAAACAACTAACAAGTCCACTAATAGGGAATGAAGTAAATAAATATTATACAGTCTCATCTCATTATTAATGCATCCTGTATTTGTAAATTTACCTACTCACTAAAACTTATTTATAACCCTAAAATCAGCACACGGTCATTCATGGGCATGCACATTCCCAGCTAAGGTTGAGCAAGGTGATACTCTGCCTTGTTTCAGTTCTCATACTGCAAACAAATGTCGCTTTTCACAGCCCGTTGAGTTCACAATTTTCATATTTTTGCTGCTGATTTCACTTTTCAAAATGGCCCCCAAACATACTGTTGAAGTGCTGTCTAGTGTTCCTAAGCACAAGGCTGTGATGTGTCTTACAGAGAAAAAGCAAGTTAGATAGCTTTGTTCAGTCATGAGTTCTAGTGCTGTTTGCCACTAGTTCAATGTTAATAAAATAACAATATATACTAAATAAGGTGCTATTAAACAGAAACACATATAGACAAGGTTATACATTGATTAGACAACAGAAATGTGACCAGAGGCTCACAGAAACCTAACTCTGTATTTCCCTTAGGAGTAAGGAAACAGTATTCACTATTTCAGTGTTCTCAAGGACTTTATGGACTATCTACTTTGAATAACAAGAATTAACTGTATATTCATATAATATACCATAGTCAAAACAGACATACCATTTCCAAATAGCTAACACGCAAAAGTAAAACTCACTTTTTAAAAAGCTAACTTTAGGCTGGGCGCAGTGGCTCACTCCTATAATCTCAGCACTTTGGGAGGCCGAGATGAGAGGACTGCCTGAGACCACAGGTTCGAGATCAGCCTGGGTAACTTCGTGAGATCTCACCTCTATGATTAATCAAAAAATTAGCCAGGTGTGGTGGTGCATGCCTGTAGTTCCAGCTACTTGGAAGGCTGAGGCAGAAGGATAACCTGAGCCCAGTAGGTCAAGGCTGTGGTGGCCAGGAGCATGCCACTGCCCTCCAGCCTGGGCGACAGAATGAGACTCCAACTCAAAATAAAAAGTTAACTTAAAAAAAAAACTTAGGAGTCGGGCTCAGGGCTCAGCCTGAAATCCCAGCACTTTGAGGCCGAGGTGAGTGGATTGCCTGAGCACATGGGTTCAAGACCAGCCCAGGCAACTTGGCGAGATCTCGTCTCTACCCCCGCAAAAAAACTGGTCAGGCATGGTGGCACAGGCCTGTGGTTCCGACTACTTGGAAGGATCACCAGAGGTCAGCAGGTCGACGCTGGGGTGGCCGTGAGTGTGCCACCATACTCCAGCCTGGGTGACAGAGTTAGACTCCAATGCAAAAAAAACCCAAAAATGATTAATAATGTGTTTTAAATAAATAATTTAAAAAGTTTAAATTATTCTACATGTTAATCTTTAAAAATGTGTTTAAAATAAATAAATAAGTAATTTGAAAAGCTGAAATTATTCTACATGTTAATCTTTAAAAATATATGCTTTTTGGAAACATACATGTAAAAACATAAACTGGATACACATCAAATTCACATTAAAAAATTAATCTATTTCGGGAGAAGAGAATGAAAAGGAAGTAGAGAAAGAAATGGGTCTGGGATGATACTACTTTTTCCAAAAAAAAATACCAATATAATAAGTGAGAAAATATTAGCATGCGCTTATTTGGGGTGGCTGGTACTTGTGTGTTCTACGGCATACTTTTCAGAAATTTTTTCTAACAGACTGAATATGTTGATAGTTACCTATCTAAGATGGAAAGTTATCTGACAATTAAAATCACCATTAAAGAGAAATAAGAGCTTAAAAATAATACATTATTAAAAACATCAAATTAATGAACAGCATTAATATTTACAACAAAGGGACCTTATATACAGAGAAATAATATTAAGGAAGGCTTTCTTTCTTCCTGATCATTTATTTTCATATACATGCCTATGCTTCTCCTAAACCACACTGCATATTTCCTGAGAAGAATTACAAAAAAGAACATCAAAAAGTTGTTAAATGCTAGATCTGAGGACAAAATTTATATTCTGAAATAAAGGTCCCACTTTACTGAAACTTTTCCAAAAATATATGTAAGTGGCAATGTATTATTTCTTATAATTGAGGAGGAAATTGTAGTGGGATTCTTCCTAGCATAAAAGTAAAAGGTTAAGACCAGATGTGGTGGCTTATGTTTGTAATCCCAGCACTATAGGAGTCCAAGGCAGGAAGATCAATTAAAGTCAGGAGTTCAAACCCAGCCTGGGCAATATCGTGAGACCTTATCTCTACTACAAAAAAAAAAAAAAGCCTGGCATGGTAGTGCAAGTCTGTAGTCTCAGCAACTTGGGAAGCAGAAAAGAAAGGATCACTTGAGTTCAGGAGTTCAAGGTTATATTAAGCTATGATGGTGGCACTGCACCCCAACCTGAGTGACAGAGCAAGACCTTGTCTCAAGTAAATAATCTGAGCTTAGCTTTAATTAGTCAAAAATAAACAAATGTAATTTCTTAAAATAAATAAAATACCCTCTCTCAACCTCTCATGTTTATAATTAGGTTGTTCTAACAGGAGATGATATTCCTTTATTAAACTAATTTTATAAATGCAATGATAATGATTAGGCATGTGTCAATTTTTTCTGGTTAAAATTAGTTTTAAATTATTTAAAGGCTATCCATACAATGAAAAGAGATTCAATATTACCAAGTGAAGTATAATGATGCAACATTTTTTAATTTAGTAAAGTAAAATATACTAACATTCTACAGACCACTATTAACAAAATAAACAAAAAGAAACCGGCAGCAAAATTGATCTTTCTGAAGCATACTGAGGACTATACATAAACTCTAAGAGGGTTATACCGTAGGTACAGAGGTGTGATTCATAGTGAGCCTTGAGAGTACAAACCTTATAGACTAGAGTATGTCTTATCTGTCAGGGATATGAGGGAAAACCAGAACAATGTATCTCAACTCAGCTGACTCTAAGGGTCATTTAAAGACAAGTTCATGTGTAGGCAAGAAACAGTTTAGTTACTGATTAAGTGAAATGAGAACCAGAATTAGAATCCTAAAAATTTTATTTTACATGATTACATTGATGGTCCTGCACAATCTTTCTCAGCTTTAGACTTTGAAATCTCGAAAGAGCCTTCAGTTCTCAAAACATTGTGCTTTTATAATCCTACAGTGACACAGCCTGAGAAACTGTCATTTGCTCTAACTAGAAAAAAAATTTCCTAAAATATGTACAGAGAAAATTAACTATATTTGGCTATCTAAGAATTGTTTTGTAGGAAAGTGAAAAAACTTTTCTTAAATTGGCAATAATATGTTGTATAATATTCATTTTAAAAAGTATTCTCAGTCAGGCATAGTAGCTCATGCCTATAATCCTAGTACTTTGGGAGGCTGAGGCTGAAGAATTGCTTGAGCCCAGGAGTTTGAGATCAGCTTGGGCAATGCAGTAAGACCTTGTCTCTACAAAAAAATTTAAAAAATTAATCAGACATGATGGTATGCACCTGTAGTCCTAAACTACTCCAGAGACTGAGGCAGGAGGACTGCCTGAGGTCAGGAGGTCAAGGCTGCAATGAGCTGGGATCCTGCCACTGCACTGCAGCCTGGATGACAGAGGCAACACAAACTCAATCAATCAATCAATTAAAAGTATTGTGTCATCAATTTGTTAATGTAGAACTTGTAAATTCTTTACATTGTCTTTTGCTGGCCATACTCTTAAGTATTTACCTAAAACAGTAATACACACAAATTAACCTTCCCATAATCCTTTCCTTATCTATAAAATAGTTTATCTGCTATACCATGAATAAGTAAAAGGCAGGAAAAAGGTCATTCATTCCTGTATCTTGTGCCCCCTGCAAAGTAAGTTTTCAATTACGAATGCACACACACAAAATTTACAGAAACTTTAATTGTCCACATACCCTGGATTCACTCACAGAAATTCTGATTTTGAAAGAAATGAAGTCTGACTTCAGCAAATATTTGGAAAAAATATAGGGACTACTGTGCTACAGAACCCCAAATGAGAATCAGTAAAATAATATGTAGTAAAGCAGCAAGCAATTAATATTTAGTATATGAAGGGGAAAAAAAGAACAATAAACAAGTTAACAATAAGTTATTAGAGATCATTCAATACTTTACTATCAATAGGTTCAACCTAGGGTCCCTAATATTTTTAGGCCTTTTCTCTCACTCCAGGCAAAAGTGTCAGTCTTGCCTCGAAATGCTCCTTGATCAGGTCTTAAGATTACTGATATTGAGAATATGAGAAGAAACTGTCAAAAGAATTATCTTTTCCCTCCTCTAAAAAATGTAGAAGTAGAAAATATACACAAATAAATATAGTAGGCTAAATCTTTCCTGTACCTGGAAATGTATCACCCAAGTTTAAAAAACAGGATAGGTCTGTCAAAAAATTTAATTTCTGGCCGGGTTCAGTGGCTCAGCCTGTAATCCCAGCACTTTTGGAGACCCTCGGTGAGTGGATTGCCTGAGTCCATGGGTTCGAGACCAGCCTGGGCAACTTGGCAAAATA